TACTAGAGTGTCATTGATTCTGGGTCCCCTCAGTGGAGAGAGCTAAGAAATATATGTATGTATATGTACATATCCTCCATACACATTTTTTTATAGCTAGGCATCTGTCTATATCACTATTTTTAGCTCACCATGAATTCATACTGAACCTACAATTTCAATTCAATACCATAGAGTTTAGTTTTCCACTTTTCTATTTTTGTATTTTCTTTCTCTGAGAGTGAGAAACCTGGCTCTCAATATTTTTACTTTGTTCAATCCTAGAATACGTTCAAAGTAGTTTCAGAATTGATACCACTGCAAAAATAAAAAAGAAGACATACAGCAGTTCAGAATTTGTTTACAGTTGTTTTTCTTTACAGTAGTCAGAAAGTATATAGTCAAAAATACTTTTACTTTTTTCTTTTTATATTCAATTGAGTTTTGTCTTCTAGTTATGCTGTAGGTGTAGATTTTGTCTGCTTTGGGTTTTTTTTTCTTTTTTCACTCTTATTAATCTGCAAAGTTCATGGATGATGTGTTAGGATATTTGGATTTATGTATCATTACCTCAGTACTCACTAAAGTATTTCTAAAACTTCACATTTGGAATCATTTATTGTCCATGTTTTTATACATTATTGTCCTCAGTGCTGTCAAGAGTGTTGGTGATACAGCACTTCCTAAATGACAGTTAATTCCACTACTCTCTCTCGGGTTTTTCCCCAAGCCACTGACAATCTTTCTGCAACTATTGATGCTGGGTCTTTCTTGATCTTATCAGAAGAGGTCAATAGAAAGTTTCTAGAGACAAACCAGTACTTCCTCAAATAATCTTTAAATGGTTTGTTGACTAAAACATTGAAGGATTGCAATTGTCTGGTTACCATCAAGAATAATAATCTAACTTGTACATGCTCAGGCCATGTTAACTATTTCTAGACTGTCAAATAGCAATTGTAGAATACTTTCAGTTGTAAGATGCATTCCAATTTTGGTTAAGATGTGAAAAAAAGCATGTTTAAGATTGAATAATTTAAAGTATTGAGTTCAGTAGAATAAATATATGCTGCAACAAAACTAGAGTAGCTTTGGTGTAACACATTCTTTGAGGCTTGTGCCATGGGATTTTGTCAAGGGTGAAACTATTACATAGTACTTTAGGCACTTTTTTTTTTTTGTCCTTTTTGTGACCAGTAAGGGGATTGCAACCCTCCATGTGGTGTTGCCCACACCGCGCTTAGCCAGCGAGCTCACCGGCCATCCCCACATAGGATCCGAACCCGCGGCAGGAGCGCCACTGCGCCCCCAGCGCCACACTCTCCCGAGTGCACCATGGGGTCAGCCCTACTTTAGGCACTTTAGTAGTAAAGTGCTTTGGACAGGATGGATCTACCTTTTCCTGAGCTTCATAATGTAATAAAATACTAATATGTAGTATTTTACAAAGGTGTTTGGACTGTAGTAGATGATAGAAACTGTTGTTCAGATATGTTAATATAAGCAAATGGGACTCATTTCAAACATTGATTTTAACCACCTATTAAAAATCAAAAAAGTAGATGATAGAAACTGTTGTTCAGATATGTTAATATAAGCAAATGGGACTCATTTCAAACTTTGATTTTAACCACCTATTAAAAATCAAAAATTTGGGCCGGCCCGGTGGCGCACTGGATAGTGTGCCGCTTGGGAAGCGCGGCGGCGCT